GTGGGGGGATGGGATGTGGGGGGAGCGCGTGGGGGGATGCCGGGAGGTGAGGGGGGGAATCTGTGGGGGGAATCCGTGGGGGGATGCGTGGGGGGTGCGGGAGCGAGGCTCCAGGAACGGTGCCTCCCCCCTCTGCTTCAGGCAGCTGTTGAACGAAGACAGAAGGCCTTGAGGGGAGATTATCCGGCGCCAGATAGCGACATGACTCGGGGTAGAGGTGGCAGTCTGTTTGGTTTCTCAGTGACAGGCCACTAACCAGTCCTGCGGGTATTTAACTCATCCAGCTGCCATGTGCGACCCCTTTGTGGGCCCCATGTTGAATCTCAGACATAAGTTACCTTTGGTTCACTCTGGATGAGTTTCAGGAATTAGCAGAAATGGTAATTATGGTATTTTAAGAGATATTGCATTGGCCCTGAATGGGAGCCAAAGCATGAGCAAGATATAATAAGAGATAATAAGATCCATCTGTATACAATCACCATTTCCAGTTTCCAGGGAGCTAAGTCTCTTGTCTTGTTTCTGTTGGCCCTCCCTTCTGGTGGCTGGTTTGTTCAAATGATGTATGATATTTTAGTAGGAGTTTATCTTCAAAGAAGGTCTTTGTTCTCTGAGAGCACTTCATATTCTGGGTTGAAAGTCTCTCTAGATTGGTTTTGCTGGAATTTAGAAATCTCAGTTGTGTTAAGCCAGATTTAAGATCATTCATTCAGCTTGTAATATATATTCAGCTTGTAATATGTACCTTATATATGAGATAGGCCCTCAGGTATCAACTCTGTGTGTGTGTGTGTGTGAACAGGTGCCTTTTTCCCCCCAGAGTATGAGACAGAGTTTTAAAATATTATCTATTGTTTCAGGCCTTCAAGTATATGCAGAAATCACCGTTTCAAGGACTTTAATTAAAAATTTCTTTTAAATCCTATATTTTTTCAGCTAAAAAGAAACATTATGCATTATTCATTATTTTTATATGTTTATGGTGCCTTTGCCATAAACTCCATACCATATGTGACAAATATTGACTCTCCTCCACCAAAACAGCTAAAGTAATCTACAATCAAATAATCTTAGAAAAATAAAAACCTCATTGTGTCTGTGCCCTTGCTAAGGGTATAGAATAGCTTCCCACCCAGCTCTGAGGAGGCTGAGGCAGGAGGATTCGGAGCCCAAAATCAATCTTGAACTGAGTCGCTGGCTAAGCCCCTGACTGAATCATTCCCGACACCCCAAAATGCTTCTGTCACACGTTGAATAAAATCCTAGTTTTCTCACGATTCTACACGATCTGACCTATGCCTACTAGTCTTTATTTTTTGAAATAAATAAATGGTAAAATCTATTAGGAATTGCAAGTTTATTCGGAAATGAATATACTTTCAATAGGGTGAAAATCAGGTGAGAATAGCACTGATTTGAGTGGATTGTTATTAAAGAGTAAGGGGTTGTGCTGAAACTCCTGTGTCACAGCTGGTGCTTGAGCCACTTTTCCAGGCCAGCGTTTTGTTTGTTAATGGCGATGAGGCCCCAGGCTTTCCCACCTCATGACTTTGATCTTCCAGATTCAGATCTTCCTCCGATCTCAGCCTCCTGAGTAGCTTACAGACCGAGCTATTGGCACGCTGATGCCCACTTCTCTTATATTAGGCTGTCTTTCTCTTTACTCCACACATCCAGCTCCAGCCGAATTGGCTTTCTCTTGAGTTGTAGAAATTGTCACATCTCCAACACACTGTGTACTGAGTGCCCCTGTTACATTGATTCACCCTTTGTCCCCCCACATCTGTGATTGCCCCTCCCTTCCCCAAATCAGATAGACTTAGACACAAGACAAAGGTACAGAAATCAAAAACGTGAGGGAGAGGGCTAAGGAGGGGGAAGGGGAAAAAATGAGGGCGGGCTTAACACTGTTGGAAAAGAAATGTACTCATTACCTTACATATGTATCTGTAACCCTTCTGTACATCATATGTACAATAAAGTTTTTAAAAAAGAAATGTGCCACATCTTTTTTCCCCCCTCTCTCTTACTAATACAGGGCTTTCCAAATGTTGTTCCTCAGGCTATTAACTTTTCCTTTTCCTGCATAGTTCTTACGCCTGCAGATTTTGGCCTCAATGTACATAGAGACATTTTATGACCATCTTATCTAATTAGCATCCACTGTTCTCTGTGTTTTTCAATTAATTTTATAGTACTAACTATAATATATAAATTATTTGTAGTTACTTATTTTTTATTCCCTTTGTCAAATAGTTATTTCACAAGATTACGATTCCAACTTTTATTCAATCAATGTAAAACAAGAGGATCTGACAGCTAATTACTTGACTATTAAGAGAACAAGATTTTATGTGTTAAATATGGGCTTGAAATATTTCCACATTTGATGTAGTTTAAGATTCCTTTTTAATATAAATTTCTATGATGATGAAAAACATTGCACATTTATATCATTATACTTGAAGGTGTGAACTCATGAATAAAAACATTAAAATACACTCAAACAGTCAGAGTGTTATTTTCTTTTTGCATGGCCGTAAAGTCTCATTTCAGCAATATTAATAGCCACCAGCGTGTTTTGTCCACAAATAGTCAATAACATTATGATAAATAATATTATAAATAATATTGTTAATTTTTTATTTTTCAATTATTCTGCATCTGTGAAATGCAAAGTTCAAATGTTAGTGTCTCCCCAAAGTACATGCTAATAATTGAATTCACAATGCGATAGTATTTAAATGTAGGGTTTCAGGAATGATTACATCACAAGGCCCCATCTGCTACGTGAGGATATAGCAACAAGGCATCATCTACAATGCGAAGAGCAAGCGAGCCCTGCCCGATCTCCGCATCTTACATTTTATGGCCAGCATTATAAAAACAATCCATGTTTTAAGCTATTCGTCTAAGACTCGATAACTTTGCGAAATAGTCCCACCATTGCTCCTATTTTGCAGATAAGGAACCAAGAAATTAAGTTACTAGCTCTGGCGTCTACAGATTTCATTTAAACTGAAGCAAGATGGTCTCTGGATCTATGCTCCTAACTGTCCTCCATGCGGGGTTTACCTCTCGTAACAATCTACTTTAATAACATTTCTTAGTTTGCGATGATCTGTGGCAAATATTTTGGTGAGTTCTCAGAAGCTCTTTTGAGCAGAATGTGAATGACTGACACTCTGTAAACCCCATGGCAATTGTATCTTTAAAAGTATGAGTAGTGAGGGCGGGGTAGAGTGCTTGCCTTGCCTGGGTTCGATTCCTCAGCACCACACAAGTAGAAAAAAGCCGGAAGTGGCGCTGTGGCTCAAGTGGTAGGGTGCTAGCCTTGAGCTGAAGAGCCGAGGGACAGCACCCAGATCCAGAGTTCAGCCCCCATGACCAACCCCCCCCCCAAAAGAGTATGCGTAGTGGGTGTGGTTGCACACTCGTCTAATCTCAGCACAGGGGAGGCTGATGCACAAGGATCCCAAGTTGGAGGCTAGCTTGGTCTATTCAGTGAGACTCTTGTTCTCCAAAAAAAGAGAAAGAATTTACTTACTTACCCAAATTAATATTTAGTAAGTTCACATTGGTGTGTGATGTTTTATAACCTAGGAAAAATGAGATATTTTTGAAGTATAGTAGAAGCTGTTTTTAATCACTGACTCTGCCAGTCACTCTACCTTGGAATATTTTGGCTTGTTTTCCCTAAATTGTTCCTAACTTTTTCCAACTTCTCTTAATTCATTCTTAACATGGTTACAGTTCCCTTTCATTAGTCTTTGTATTTGTAGCCTCAGAGACTGAGCAAGATGGTGGCTATTGGTAAGAGTCCTTCAAAGACGAAATGCTACAAGTTAACAGCTTGCTTTTCCTTTAGGGAAGCGGGCAGGACTCTTTCTCTCAGATTTCAGATTTGAATTTGTCTGTCCC